TCAATCCTTGTTGATGACTAATTTGTTGAAGATCCTGTTGAAAGCTGGCTGATCTATGCTCTCATATGCGACATTTATAGCATTCAACCTTATCTGATCAGAATTCAGACCGTTAATTGATAAACTATAAGGATATCTTTTCGCGGATATTAGCAAATAGTCAGAAGGTAAAGTTATCACACATAATACAGATACAGGTGTGTAAGTTAGCAGTAGTAGAAAAATTACTGTTTTCAATGTCTTATTTTGTATCCGATTAAAATTACAATGAAATCGAACTTCCTTTGATATTATCCCACAATGAAATGATAAACGACAGCTTCCCTTGGACATCATGCAGAACGACGAAGTGGACGATACAGTGCCTATCTTGCATATCCTTCCATTCTCTCCATTTGTGCTGTCATTTCTCATTTAATATGAAAGAAACTAAGAGATGTCCATCTTATCTTACTATCCATCCATCCTATTTTCCTGTCTCTTTGCTCCATTTATCCTCTTACTTTCTTTATAGCCCATTAGGATACAACTCGAACTGTCATTTCTATTTCTTTCTTCCTTGTCATCAACCATTTATGGCACGCTAAAAAGTTTTATCCGAATTCTTGATCATGACAATACTTCATTTCATTTATTTGCTTATTTAAGAATAAGAATAAATGCGCGAAAATTAGGACAAAAATGATCTTAGAATATCATATTTCTAATTCTAATCCTTTTAGCAAATTAACATTTACCATATAATTGTCATTGCAATTAATGATAAGACTTGAAATAGTGATAAAAACAAACAAAATATTAGTAAATCATAGATGTCGTTCTTTTTACGGAAAGGAAAAAACAAACAAACAAATATTAGTAAATTATAGATGTCATTTTTCCATGGAAAAGAACAATTTTAACACGAAACTTCCAATATAAACATTCATTTTTCTTTTAATCATTCTATTCTCATTGTTTTCACTCAAACTTATGAAAAAAAGAAAAGAAAAGAAAGAGGAATGGAGTTGTAATAAATAAATGATCAACAAGAAAATGGAATTTTTCACAAACCATTTATTATCCGTAGTTTACGAAAAATTCGCAAAGTTCATATTTTCAACAGTAGATGATCCTAAAGTTTACAGCGAAAACTGGGAAAAAGGGTGAAGGACGAATGAGATGGCATTAAAATGTCAAATAGAATTTCTCTACCAATATCAGATGATGAAATTTGCTCAAATTGATATTTCTTAACTCTATAATTCATCTTTATTGAAGGTAAATGTAAATATCTATTTGCATATTTTTGTTTTATATATTTAAATTTGTAGATAGATAGACTAGCTGATAATAAAGTAGTATGAATAACTGTAGATTCTATATTCCCATTCATTTAAGAAAAAAAGCGGGAAGAAGGAAAGATCATGAAAGATCGGTCCATGGAACTATCCAATAACATTGTATTAGTTAGTATAACCTTGAGGTCACATCTAAATAGACTTCAAGATCATTTTTCCTAGCGGAAATTTAGGGAAAAATTATAGTATATGCTTATTGCTCTTAATTAATGACTTCATTAGCTAACCTATCAATACCTGTGAATCGAAAATTTTGGTAAATTTTCAGCTGTAATCAGTAAGTAATGTTAACATTATTTTCAAAATGAAATATATTTGAAAATAATGTCTTTGCTCTTTTACACTTTTATTGAAATGCCCTTCATTGTCATAAGACGCTTGATGAAGCTAAACGTCACTGTCCGAATTGATTGCCTTCTGTAATTTATCTCACCTTCAACCGTCCAACTATGGTACATGTCTCCAATATACAAGTGACATATTCTCTTTTAATTGCAATATGCGAAACTTTGTTCCTAACCCCTCATTCCTTTCATATACATATGCGCAATGTGTAGACGTTTAGACTGATAATTTCAGTCTGTTAATAAACTTCTTCAACTATTAGTAATGATACAAATGTTGTAAACAGCTTATCTTCTTCTTATTTATCCCTTTAAGATCATTTTCAACCGGAATGAGCAATCGAACATTTGCTCTAATAACTACATTATTCTTGATATCCATATAAATCAACACTTCCGGAATCTTCATCATTCGGATGAATGCGTTTCTGTCGAAATCAATTTCATTTACTAATATTCGAATCCTTGGGGATTTTTGCTCAAATTCAAATTGAAGTAAAAAGGGAAAGGAAAAACGAGAAGATTAAAAAAGAAACGGAAGGTCTGAGATGGAATAGAACAAATTATTTATTGCAGTGACTGAAATCATTTGTATTACAACAGTTAATTCCCTGAAATTTATGTTTCTCTTCCTTCCACAAGTTAGCTTAATCCGGCAAGCTGAAACTGCTCAATGACATCACAGTATAAATGCTTGGAGTAAAATGTAGTATATTCCCCTTGCTACCTGTTATATCTTTCAATCTTTATGCGGGTTTTTTTTTCACTTCAAATCTACATACCTGAAATATTTTGAGAAGTGGTTTGAAGATTTATGAAATGTTAAAACGATGATACTTTTTACATCTTTTTTCAAGCTATTTAAAATGTTTTATTTCATTAATAATTTATTTTTTTCCAAAAAAAAAGATTTTATAACAATCATATCGAATACAATTTGAATTATCAAATTGAACAATAAAAGAGGGACGATCAGATTTGAGATAACAATTGTCATAAACTTATTGTCAATTTTGGGTTCAATGATTTGTTAAACTTCTCATGTTTGAAATTGGCATGCTTTTTTCCCTTTCGTATTATTATTATTCACACAGCACACCAAACTTATTAACAGAATCGATAAAAGATAAATGATGATCATTGTGACATTGATATGAAATTATCAATTGCGGTTTAAGACTAGTGTATTTATTTTCAAAAAAGTTTTTAACCTCCTTTCATTGTTGTTGTCTTTGTCATTAAAAAAATCCGTTAAATGAAGATCAGTATCTTGATTATTCTCGTCAAGCTATCAGTCAATCTCCTTTTCAATTAAACAAACAAGAATATCGATGACTTTATTACTGGTATGATTAAAGGGTTAGTAATTTTAAACAGTCATATTAGCTTAATTTTTTTTTGCCATATATCTATCTTAGTTTCTCACAAAATTCAGATTAATTATGCTGCTGAAATGTTAACAGATAAGCAGTGTAAAATTATGGCAGATTACTTTCCAGAATACTTCAACAAATCGAAAAAGCGTATTTGCTACGATTGTTCCAGCAATGGTTTAAGCTTATATAATTGGCTAAATACTCAAAATTTCCAAAAATTAAAATTATCTTATCTTTTAAGAGTTGTAAAATATCGACTAATAAAGTATTAATCTTTCCTAAAATCGTTCAGTTCAATTGACTTAATTCTTATAAAAATGAGTTAAAATGAATATTTGAAATAATTGCAACTTGTTATTACTATTTGCTAATTAGTTGCAGTAAACAGTGGATTGTTTACTTTGTTTTATTAATTTGAAAGGCAGAAAGACGACAGTTTTGTCCAGAATTTTAATTTCCCTTCTCAAAATTTTCCCAAAATATTTTTTGCATTTGATTAACTACAAACTTATCGATCATTATTTGACCTCCTTAATCAGTTCACATACATTTATTTATTTACCTCTTTCTTTCTTGTTTTCTTTTTCTTTTTTTAAATCAAAAAAAAAGAGAACTACGATGTCTCAAATGTATCTTAACTGTTGCTATCGCATGAAATCGTTCCTGAAAAAATCTTCTCTTCAACAAAATTTTCATCCTAAAACCGAATACAAACAATCCGGATTGAGGTTTCAGTGAGAGTGAAATCTCATTTCTCAAATGTTTTTCTCTAATTTTCTCTCATTATTTTATCACCATTTGAATATCAATCTAATATTCGTCATAAAAATACAATCAAATCATCCTGCAAATGTTTCGATATTTATTCATTTATAGGTCATTCTTCTATCTCACCATTATCATCATTATAACCTAAAATATGTCGTATACATGGCCTATAACTGGACATATTTTGACAATATCGTCTGGAACTTTATTATACTGAAGCGTTTAATATCACTTTGATGGACTGTTCTGGATTTTAGCAAGATACTTTACAACAAAGGAAATATTTCGTGAAAAAGAAGTTAGATTGTAAATAATAAAGATAAAAGGTAAAATGATAGTTATCATTAATAACTAAAATGATAATTATCATTAATAACTAATACATTTTGTTTCTCAGGCTCATCAAATGTTCTAGACTGGTCTTATCAAAGTTTTATTAATATTTCAAGTAAAAATAACACCTGAATGTTAATGAGCTATTTCCTATCCATTTTTCACGTCATAATTATTATACTAGACGTTTATTTTGAAAAACTACTATATTTCACGTACGTGATATTTCTTATCAGTTTTCCAAGACGAACTGATAAATATCATGGTGTTTACGAATAATTTGATTGTAATAATTTGCAATTCAACAATTATTGAAAAAAAAAAATGCCAACAACATAATAATTGATAAATAATCAAGGTTACTTATACTGATGATTATTTGTTGATGATTGCTGAAGCTAAATTTACAAAAATTAATTGACAATTCCTGTTTAAAATTATTTTCAGATGTCACAAGTAATTAACAAAAGGATTTTTTTAGAAATTTAGAGAGCGTGTAATTTAATTTGAGCAACATTCAGATTATCCCATCAATTTAACTATGCGGATAATTCGAAAACAATGATTCTGTCAAATGTTATCATCTGCTGATGTGTCATTTACAAAACATTGTCCAATGATTTCAGTCATTTTTTTTTAACATTTTCTCTTTCATTTTACATTTTGTGCATATTTTTAAATTTTAGACAAAACTATAAAGTTTTATTTCAGAATTTTGCGGGTATTCAAAGATGAGGTGGAACAGTGGATGTGTTTGTCATGCTAGATGTCCACAACAAACTTTCCTTTCATTATTATTTCTGATTTTAATTTGCTGGATTTCACAACGAACAACTGCAATGAGATTGAATCCGGAACGAATTGCTGCACGTTTACGGATTGAGAAAGAAATTGAAACGGATAAGTTAGTTAAAATGGGACGAAATAGACGACAGCTTGTAACACCTAAAGAAATTTCAATTTCTGTTAGTTTATTCATTCATTTACCATATTTAATGAAAGAAATATCGGGATAAAAGCTAATTTATTCGAAAAAATTTTGCATTATTTACTAATTTCTTCTTTTTTGTCTCATTTCAAATCTTTTGCAATAAAGTATTTTTCCCGAAAAGATTTCTTTTGCGTATTTTTTTTTCAATTCAATAAAATCCTGTTAGTAAGAATATCCTTTTATCATGTGATAAAAAAATTGATAAGGTCTGATTACATATTAGAAGAAGCGAAAACACAATTTCATTCTATGAAAGACGTTCAAAATATAAGAAGTAAGAAGAAATAGGATTTGATTGAAACTTCAAGAGTAAATTAGGGTATTATTTTTGATGATTTATCAAAGTAATAACTTTAAAAAATATAATAAGCATTATTTTTACAATTTTACATAACAATGTAAGAAACGAATAAAGGTATTATTCAAATATTTTGCAAATAATTGAAATTTGAATTAAAAAGATTTTTGGATTGTTCGGGAACTTTTTTAAGGAATATCTTTAGAATGAGAGAGAGAGAGAGAGAGAGACGACAGGCTTCAATGATCTGTGTTAGCTTATCATCAGATTATATGACATCAAAAGTGTGTCTGATGAGCGGACCAAATGTTGGAAAGACCTTCTAAAGTTTTATTTTAAAAGTAATAAGAAGATGAATAGTAACTCGCGGGAATAGAAAAGCTTAATCTACAAGTAATACATCATTCATTCATTCATTCAATGGTAATAATATTCAAATGCAAATTTCACTCCTTCAAGCATTGTCGAAATAGATAATGAATGATTGATTGATTGTATATATTCTCGGGTACCTCAATTTCCATAGAAGCGTTATTTGCATAAATTACAAAAAGTGATCTTGAATGACCTCGCTTATTCTCGAGTGGATAGCAGTAGCCCATCGTTGTTTCTACTTTGGTAAACATTAAAAGAGACGAAGAAGGGATCTCATTTAGATACCTGAGAATCGATTATATTTTCCATGTAATGCTTTTCGTCTGAGAATGAGTCATTGATGAAATTGCCATCGATGTTAATTAATTAAAAATGTGTTGCTTTCTTCATTAAAACATTTTTTTATTTTTGCCTTTTAATGAGAACTTTTGGATTTTTTGTTTAGTTTTATAAGTTGCAAATTATATTTGCCAATTTTGCTAATTAATTACTTCATTACTTAATCAGAATTTAGTTTTTTTTGCAAATTTCAAAATTTTGGATTGTTTTTAATATAATTTATCATAGATTGCTTCATGACCATTTCTCAGAAAAAAACGGCTTCTTAGCGAAACATTCAGCAGTTTATCAAAAGTGATAAAGCCAATATCACATCTCATGTATTGTACTCACGGAAATATGCGTTTCAGTAAGGATCCAATGCTAATAGTATTTGAAATTTAAGTTTTAAAATCAATCAAAAATAAAAGGAAAAGTTGATGAACAGAATACTGCTTCTTTATCACCGAAATGAACATTTATGATCGGTTAGTGACGCGCAAATGTTCAGCTGTTATCATTTAAATAGCACAAGTCTACATTTATGATAAATTAATAATGTTAAACGGTAGGTAGTGAACAATTTCATGAATCTTTCCAACATTTCTCTAAAAGCTCTTTATTTAACTAAATTGAAGTGATAAGCATTTATCAATTGAAACTTGAACATAGTTTCGATGGAAATATTTGATGACAATTATCAGTTGTTTTATAATTGACGGAAAATTTTGCTGGATATTTCATAAAATTCATAGGGACAGATGGGATGAATGAACAATTTCAAGAGGAGTCTTCTAGTACAGATGGATTGAAAAATGAATTGAATTTAAATGGTGCAGAGAGAAATAGCAAAAAGATTGATTGATGAGTTAACTTATCATTCCATATTTTGATTGATTTTCAAACTTCCAAGAATACGCTTCATCTTCAGAACTTATCCTTTTAAAAGTAATTAGTTCCGTAGTATTTAATGATTTCCGGAAAAGGTAATGGCAGATTGGATTCGTTGGGAAGAGATCGTTTTGAAATACGCAAATTGAATTGATTAAATGCATTTTTATTTCTTTTCATTATCCATCCACTTGTTATTTGATGAGAGCACCACAATAACCAGTTGGAGTACCACAACAACCATTTAGAATACCACAACAACCAGTTCTGTCTCATTTTTCCCACCATACCTAACAGATAATTTAATTTTTATGAGTCATGCGATATAATTCTGATGGTCATTGTTGCTAGTAGAAGGCGATAAAACCAGTTCCGACAGAATGTAACAAAGTTCTCTCATGAAAGGTACCGTTAAAAAAATATGCAAATGTGAAGCATTTAACGGATGACTCGATCTCTAAAACCTTAATTAAATTTGCATCATTGAATTTGCCTATAAAATTTTATCTGTCGTTAAATTTTCCGTGGAAATCGGGAAAGTACTTTGATAGCTTGATATTAAATTAAAATCACTCGAAATCTAATTTCGTCTCATCCTTTCACAATGAAAATAAATGAATGAATCAAGCAAATGTAATTTATCACAACCTTTTATCAGTGATGATCCATGTCTTATCACAATTTACTAATAGGTAACTTTTTGGAAATTCAAAAATATGTTTTCAACAATTACAGGAAATTCCTTCTACAATTTGATTTGAATTTACATATATGAACTAAGCAAAGATGACCATGTATTGATAAGGCTATTACCACATGATAACTTTGGTTAGTTCATATATGACTCTTTCTGAATATCTACTGATACGATTTCCTACCTACTTTTGCGGTGTTAATTAACAAAACATTCATTTCAAAGACTGAATTTTTTGTTGTAAACCTATGGATTGCATATTTACCTCTCATAAATTTAGTTATCACATTAAATCAAACGTTACACCATACCTCAGTACTTCTCTCAAGATACTTCAGATCAGATTATCAGTATTTGTTTCAGAGAACCATTCAATTATATATCAGAATTGCATTCCATCACGAATAATTCTATCTTAATTCCGAGAAAGTTTACAGCAATCACCGAATTGATAGTTTAAAGAATTTAAAAACAAGCTATTTTATCAATTTACACTTGCATAAATTTCAATATTTTAATGGAACTGTGTTTGATTTCAAAGGTTTAAACTTATTGTTTAATATTCGAAGTATCTTCTTTCGACTAGATAAGATCGTTGCAGTAGTTCAAAGTTCATCTTTGCATATTCAATCGTACGTCAAAACATTTCAAATATGAAATGCCTTCAGAAAATTCATTAATTCAAGCGGAATTTACAGTGTTAATTTTATGTTTAGTTTGTAAATTTTGATGTAAACTACGAGAATATGTCCAATTCATATTTGCTCATCACAATTACTTGTCACAATACATATCATACAGTTTTATATGATATTGATTTGAATTTGATTCAATCGAATTCTCGCTTATTCTTTTGCTTCTTGCATATTTCTCAAACTTTAAACAATACTTAACAAGGATGAAATTTTATTTTGCTACATAATTTAATCAATTCCAGAAGATTCCGGCAATCTTTGATCGATCATCTGATCACCACTCTTTTTTTGAGTGTCCTTGTTTATCATTACTTTCAGCCTAAACTTTAACTTGCAATGATATATGAAGTATCTAAGTTGATTTGATAAGTAGATGGAACTTTTTTTCCAATGATTTTTCAACACTCTGAAGTAAAGAGTGAAGTAAGATAAAACTTGGTATATTTATTAAGTTGTTATTGGCGGATATCATTTGCAAAGATGATTACTTGACGTATAATATCACTGATCAACGCAATGAACCCAATGTTTCACTTTAGTGTGAACAGAAACATTTTCATTTCAAGTTTGATTATTCAACACGATTCTTCAAGATAGCGTATATTTGAATTTAATTTTTTCCGTATGACTTATTTATCAAGTCAGTTAACTGTTCAATGAAATTCTCAATAGTCATGCTTGCAACATGAATGTTCAATTTGCATTTACGACTCATTTATGACGACGATACGTGTAAAATCTCTTAACCATTTATACGTGACAATGAATTTCACAAATTTCATTGCAAATTAGCAAAGATCATTTAAATCCTTCATATAATTTGTTTTTATCAACGATTTGAAAAACGTCCAAAAGAAGAAAATTACCTTCCATTAATTTGAAATTTCTATGAAGCGTACGTGAAAATTATTAGTTAACATTCCTTAAACGTACATATTTCACAATAAGTTGAAGGTAAACAATTTCAAATAAAGTAATTCATGCATGCATAATTCATTCTGAATCTTTTACAGCAAGCTACAATAGCGCAAAAATCTCGAAATTGTGCTAAGTTTCGAAATTTTCACCATTTGAAGTGAATTTTGAAGTAAATTTGAGTGAGATTTCAGCAAATTTTTACTACTTGTCAAACATTCTACACATTTTACGAAAGTTTACGTACCTTAATTTCCTGAAAAAGAAAAGGAGGGTGAAAGGTCATTTATCTTGAAGAGTCGCAACAATCAAAGTATTCTCTAAAGTTGTAAGAAGGTATTCCACTTCTTGGAATTGATATTTGACTATATCACTCTATATTTCGATCTTTAAATCAGTCATATTTTAAAAGTAACTATTCTGTCCTGATCATTCGAAATTACATTAAATACCTGATGACTTATAACAGTCAACGTTACCTTTCTTAATTATGGCATCTATTAATCTAGAATAACCGCATTTTCTTATTATCCCGCTATATTACTTAGAGATGGATTAGTTTAATCTTAAAAAAATCTTCCCACATTCTTTTGATCATTTCCTCTTTTAATATAATTAATTTTTATCAGTTTACAGTTTGTATACTTCAAATAATTTGCATTATATATTACTTTTATTTCACTGTTAAAATTGTATCGCTAAATTATTTCAGATTACTGCTCCATTATTCTCTAGCCGATTGTTTGAATATGGCTCAGATGCTGGAGATCAAGAATTACCGCGAAATTTAGATGTCACAAAAAAGGTCAACCTGATTTATCCGATACGATTTTATGGTATGCAAACATCAACTATATATGTAAGTTGTTTGAATTAAAATATTAATCTTTTACATAGTTGATAATTGAAGTTTAATAGAAGGATATACAGTAATTATATCTAACTTTTGTATTAATTATAGTACTATAGATCATCTATAGTTAGGTCATAGTTCATAAATGATTATTTTTGATTGCTTATTCTTTCCCATTCCATTGAAATATTATACTTTTTAATGAACATGTCGATATGTCAGATGAAATAGGAAATTAAAAGTAAATATGCTTAGATATCGAGTAATGGCGGTATTGGTTTCAATTCGAATGCACAAACCTATCGACAAAATATATTACCAAGTGATTTAAATTTATTAGCAATATTTTGGAATCGTAACGATTTACGGAACGGTGGAAGTGTTTATTTTCGTGAAGTAACAGGTAAACAGATATAATTTACTTCTTATCTGTCACACTGTCATATTTGTCATCTCTGTTTCTTTCTAATTTATTCCGTTTTTAAAATTTCAATTGACACCAAATTATAGAAATGAATCAATTTGTCAACGAATACATCCAAATATTAACTTTCATTTAGAAAAGATTTAAAAATAGCTTAACTGAACTCTCACAAAATTACATTTTGACTATACAGTAATTGCATAAAAACCCTATAAAAAACTTGAGTAAAATAAAATTTATTTTCTAGAGCAACATTTCAGCAATCAAAAGTGATATAAAATTTTAATACAAAAAAAAAAAAAAAGAAAGAAAGAAAGAAAGAAACATGAAACAAGTTTGATAATGATAATAGTATGAATATATTTCCAATGAAAGTTTAAATTTTTAGCTTGCTTGACAAGTTGATAACTTAAAAGCATAATTTCATCGGGAAAGAAAAAAAACTTAAAACTTTTAGTGGGACGTGTTCTGGAACGTGGGCAAAGTGAGATCCGTTATCAATATGATGAAGTGGTCAAAGTGCAAACATGTTTAATAGTTACCTGGGATAAAATGCAACCGGTTGGCGCTGCGCCTTTACCCGAAGATGTTCGTTCATACAATAAATGCGATTAATTATTGTTTATGAAGTGTTGACATGTTAATTATCATTGTCAACACACTTATAAACAAATGAAAAGACATGAAGTGCAAAAAAAAAGCAAATTTACAGACTGTAAAGTAGCAAAATCATCAGTAATAATAGTTTCATTAAAATTTTTCTGACAGATAAGTTAATTTGTTACAGAATACGAACACTTTCCAAGTAGCGCTATTTATTACTGATAATGGTACATATGCTAATTTTATCTACAAAAATATTGGTTGGACACAGGGAGCTGAGGTTTGCATGCTTTTTTTTTCATTCATTTTTTTAAAATCAAGTTTGCAGATTGAAAAGAAATAATGTGAAAGCAGTAAGCTTGAAATAGAAAAATGCTACCAAGGGATTTGAAATAGCAAAAAGTTATCCTGGAATAAATATTCGATTAAGAATAAGAACAAATGTTTGGAAATTTGTTAATTGACGAATTATTTCAGAGAGTTTTGAGAATTTCAAAAATGTTGGGTTTTAGGAATATCTTACTGGAAAGTTTCTTGAAAATGAGAGACTGGACAATGTCCATTTGCCAGGTTTAATAATGTAATAGTACCTGAAAATGTAATGAAAGTGTCACGATATTCAAAAAATAAAATGAAATGTCAGCATTCGAACTTCTTTTACAGGCAGGTTTCAACAAGGGCGATACGAAAGAATTTTACGCACTTCCAACCTCTGGTACTGGTAATATTATGTATCTAGAAGAATATGGTAATACAGGAATTCCCGGTGAATGGATGTTCAAGCTTGGCGATAGAAATGTGGAACGCTGCAAATCTGGCATCAAAGGAGATACTTGCGACGAAGGTCACTTTCGTTGTCTTATTCATCAAAAATGTCGCAGCAATCAATAATTGACTTGTTGTGAGTATTTAAAAGAAATGACAATGTCCATGACGAAAATTGCAGAATGCTCAGCTGGTGAATGGGGTCCAGATTGTGCATTATGTTGTCATTGTGCAAGTGATACCTGCAGTGGAACCACCGGTGAATGTGTTGGTGGCAAATGTTCCGAATGTTGGACAGGATTGCCAACTTGCCAAGAAAGTAAGTATTCCAATCCTACAATGGGATCATCCAATTTTTGCTATCTGTTTGGTAGTAGACAGTAGAGTATCAGTTTACGCCGAAACTATTTCCACGTTCGCTTTCTATCCATTACTAATTTACCGATGCTAACTAGTTGAGTTATTTGCTGGAACTGATTACGAATTACGTACGCTACGTCATTTACTATTACGCAGTAAATAGGCCTAAAAAGCATTAAATCTATAATATATGTTATCAAATCTTGATTTGATAATATTCCAAGATTTGTCTAACATCTCTTAGAATTAGAGTTTATGGGCAACTTTTCCCAGTTCAAAATATGCAATGTGTTGCAAAAGTTCATACTTATCCTTATTTGGCTTAATTAACTTTGCTTGTTTAGCTTAATTGAAAAAAGATCGCCCAGTAATTGTCATGTTTCAACAGAATGATTCAAATAATAAACCCCAAAAGCACCGAATCTGTGATTGATATTTAAAGTACCTAAAATTAGCCCATAATTTTGATATGAAATATTATTTGTTTATAAATTTGAATAATTTGAAGAGAAAGAAGAATGCGAAATGTTGATGCAAGAACATTGCGCCCATAATGCAATATCATTTACTGATTATGATCGTTGCGGTGAACCGATCCAACGATGTCAATGTTTGAAAGGATTCGAAGGTGACGGATATACCATATGTGATGGTTTGTTTCCTAATATTTACAAAATTTTCTTATTCTTGAAATAAATGAATAATAGAAATTACTTCAAACAGTTAACAATATCCTTTCCGATCTCATCCAATTCAATATGATACTGATATGGTCACGGTTATATTTCGATTAAACCCTTACTCATCATATCTCTACTTTTCGAAAATTTATCAAAAAGTGCTTTATTAGTATTATCACTTGATGTGATACTGATAAGGTTATGCTTAAAGGTTTAATAAAAGATTCATTCATCATGTCACTATTCTATTCCTTACTTATCAAAAAGTGCTTTACCAGTTTATTGATTACAAATTAATTGAGTTTACCAATGGATAGTTAAATGAAGGAAAAGAAATCAAACAATTTCAATATCGCTAACTTTTTACAAATATTGAAGAGTGAATAGTAACCAATAAAAGGAAATGAATGAGACAACAATACCGTACCGTATCCTCGGGTTCAATCGTTTTACAAATTAAATCCGAAAATTTTTGTCAACAATCCATCTTAGCTTGACCAATTTCTTATTAGCTAAACAAATTTATTCGCTAACAAAATTTGCAATGAAGTATTTAAAAAGAGTTCAAATGTTCAGTTTATAAATTTATATGTTATTTGAAATACTAATGAATTGGTTCTGTTACATGAGTTAGTTTTTTATTAATTGGTCAAATTTAATGAATTAGTTTAATTAGTGAATTGAATGAAGAATTAGCATTCGGTCTGGATAATGTTTATTTTATCATAATACTGTAATTTGCAATTGATATGACATATCTTGCAGATATCGATGAATGCTTGCAACCAGGTATATGTCACGAAGATGCAATTTGTGGCAATACTCCAGGACACTACTTCTGCACATGTGCGGATGGATTCATTGGTAATGGAGTAACTGAATGTATAAGTTCATTACTATACTCATATCGAAAACATCAGGAGTTACCAAAGGATAGGAATGCCAGAGTTGTGTTACAGCTTAAACAACCTCTTCAAATATTTGGCAAAAAATTGGACAAATTAATGGTTAGTTGTCGATTTTAAATTCAGATTGTATCAACTAGTTATTGCACGCAGTATGATATTCCACTCATACTAATGTATTATTGAGTGTTTCATGTTATTGTATCTGCTACTGTAGTAAATACGATACTGTACTAAGAGTACTTTGACGTAAGTATTTATGTAATCCTTCTTTTTTTTTTTGTTCAAAAAAAAGCACTCGTTATAATTGATGGGAAAAATGATTAAAGTTTAGACTTTCAAATTATTATACATTATTCAAGTTCACGTCTTCACATAAGAAAAGATCATCTCAATTAAATGACACGCAACACTTGCAACAATCCAAGATATTAACTTTAACTGTATTTAACTTGACTTCTTTGAACTCATCTCGTCTTAGGCATGAAATCTTGAACTTTTTCTTTCGGTCGATCCTTTTTTGAGTTACAAATCCAATTTCAATTACTCCAATCTTCTGAATAACTCGTGAAGCACCTCATCGATAACTTTAAAGTTACTGTTGCCAACATTACTCCGCTAGTTATTGTCAATTCTTCGTTGACATTCATCGGTCACATCTCCTTTTCTGCTGTTCTTGCAATTATGTCAATGACATAAACGTAAATATGAAGAATAGAATATTGAAATTCGCCATTACACTTGGTACACATTGGTTCCGGAACACTTACCCTTTCTTCCTTGTAAATGTGAAATCGTCGAATAACAATGGACAGATTAGTTGTGAATCTTTCCGCGTGAAAACACACGTCATTCGAAAACTTGAACGGAAACGTTTTGGAATGTTTGACGTTTATGCGTCTTCAACGAAATACTCAGTCAATGGTTCAGTCAATTTACTAATGATTGGTAATTTTTACAGATTTCAACGTTAGGAATAATATCTGTGGAAGACAGTTCAAAAATCAATGTAGGTGATCATCTTGGATCATCCGGAATACACGGTATAGCACCATTCTTTGCTAATATTGACATCCGGAAAGGTGGCCAAATATTTGTGGAGGAAACAGATGGTAGGATTACCGTATCCATTCTTTTTTGCCTCATCTCTTTTACTTTTTTAAATTTTACTTCATGAAAAATGATAAAAATGAATAAAACAGTAATAGTAAAGATTAAATGTACAAATATCTCAACAAAACTTTATTTTTTAGACCCGAAAGTGCTTTCGAGAGCCACAAAGACAATTGCAAGCAGCATAAATGACAAAAAATTCCAGGCTACAACTGCTATACTGGTTACCTATGTTAATGTTACCAAAGCTGATCGAACGGTTCTTTTTTCTGAATATAAATAAAAGTTTTATCTCATTTAAATTGAACTAATAATTAACTTTTCAACTTTAAATCAAAAGGAAATTATGGAAATTAAAATTATAGGGTCCAGGTAGCACCTTCCAGACATTAATTATCAGTGGAATAAACAAACAACATCGGAATGAAACATATGCGCAAATGTTATACAAGGATTTACCATGGAGTGACGGAGCTGAGGTATATTTGCACCATTAGTAATCTGTTAAAATTTACTTGTCAGTTTAATTAAATCTCAATTAGTTGAAACGAAAAGGGGGCTTTTAAACTTTCACAAACAGAAGAATGGTCGTACTTGTAAAATAAGAAACTATGTTAAAATTTCAGGCTAGCATTTTGACGTATGGCTCAAAAGATCCATTAATGTTACCTGGATCTGGTACCAATGAAATAGTACGCTTAAGTACGAGTAGCAATATTGGAAAACCAGGTCAATGGTTGTATCGAATTGATTCAAACGATGTACAGATGTGTCTTCAACCAAATCTTCAACCACCATATTGTGAACAATACGAAGTTACAGATGATGATTCGATATCTGTCACATCACCAAGATGTAATTAGTTTTAAATTTTAGTCTTACCTTGGTGCGAAATATATTTACGCATTTGATTTCGGACTTTAGATTAATTAAACTTGTTAGAAACAATTTTAAAATTCGGACAATCAAAGATTTATTTTTATTTTGAGTTTATCATTTCGCAGCAATTTGAAATTATTGTCATAATAATCCTAACTATCATAGGAAAAAAAACAAACTTTATAGTGGGAGAGACACAAATATCGGAGCAAATGCATCATTCTTCAATTCCGGAGGTGGATGAATCAACCAATGAACTTGTTGAGATTCCTGAACCACAAATAGTTCACCCGGTAGTTATCGACTCACCACTTTTATCATCTCACATTCAATCAGCAGGAGAAATTCCGGATGAGCATCATTTTGGAAGTGTTAATGGTGAAGAAGAAAGGACGAGAAATCCGATAACACCACATATGTTAGCTTGAAATTATGTTGTGATTGCCATACTATATTTCATCTAATTCTTTTTAACAGATCCGACAATTTTCAGACCACTCATTTCGTTGGATCGTCACGATATCGAAGATTTACCACCAGATGCCTTCGAGATCACATTCCCACCTTTTGTCACCGTTATACCTCGACTGTTTACAACTTCCGATAGTGCGGAGAGAGGATTACTATCGATTCATCTAATGGTAGTAATTTTTTGACTATTTTCTTTGATTAAAATTTTTTACTTAGTACCATATTTATTTGTTAATCCATTTGATCGTTTCACAGCATTTGCATAACTAAATTATTTCAAAATTTCCAAATTGTCAATTTTTCAAGTTATTCAAATTCTTTTATTAATTTCTTCAAAAGCAAATATTGAAAGCACTGAGTAATAACTAAAAATAAAACTGCAAAGTTTAAATAGTTTTTGCAATTACTAATTCAGGAGAATGAAACAGAAGATAGGCAACCAGAAACTTTTGTGACAGCACCAGCAGTATTAACAACTGATTCTGTAATTGACAGCAATCGTCCTGAAATACCTCCGGAAACTTCTAAACTATCGCCAGTATCGTCAACACAATCAATCGAAGATATTAGGCCTGTACAGAAAGCTAAACCGGAAGAAATCGATTTTAACCACGATGAACAAATAATCAATCTTTTTCGACCTGATGATGATTCTGTTGATAACAAGCTTGAATCGGATCTAGAAAGTGAACCTTTTGAGGTTCGTTATTTAGTTTGTATAAAATTACCACTTATTAGAACTTGTTCATTTATTTAAATCACATTAAATGAGTCAGCAATTTTGCAGAAGATAATATCAACGGATTTATCGATGCAAACTGTGGCTCCGGAACATAAAAATGACGATTATATGACATTAAGTACAACCAGTAAACCACTCTTTATCTTTACCACATTACCAAAAGTATGTATGACAGCATTTTTCTCACATAATTGTTGTTTGACTTCTCAAAAAATATTTCTTGACAATTTAGTCATACCATTTTCTCATTCATCCTACTATGAATATACTTTAAAATAAAAAAGATTCAAATTTAAATTTAGAAAAGACCTATGCCAACCAAACCAAAATTAGTCTCAGTACATGGTTCAGCTTTTACAACACAACATGGACCATATGATGTTCGAAATGAAGTAAAAATTGAAGCATCCAGTAGCAGTTAGTTCTTTTTTCTCCTTTTCAATCCATTTTATTTACTAATGACAAACAATTTTGATGAATTGATCATTTTGACATATTGTCATCTTTGTACTTTCGTTTCTAAAAAATTACAGTTTAGATCTTGCCGTTATTATTCCAACAGCAATCATTGCAGTATGGTTATTATTACTTGCAGTTATAGCATTGTTTTGCTGTTGTCGGAGAAAGTAAGCCTTTTTTTTTCTTCCGTTACTATTTCATGATAGAGATAGGAAAAGAAGAGATAGTAAAGTTAAAATGAAAATTGAAATTCAAAAGGGTCGTTGGTTGTGGTTGTATTGTAGGAGAGCGGAACGTCACTTCAGGGATATTTATTTTCCGAATCATCAGCAAATTCATCCTATCACGGCAACATTTGCGATGCGAAAAGATTCAAAACATTTCGATGGTTCCTACGAGGATCATCTTGAAAAAGCAGCACGACTTAGCTCTGAATTAAATTCATACAATCAGGTTAATTTGTAATGATTTCAATTGAATTTAAAGTTTCTTTAAATATTTTGAAAATTCCACGGGAATAATTTGTTATTATATTCTTAAAAGGTAATTAGTCTATTTATCTCCAATCAATTAATTGATTAGATATCCTCAATTAGTTTATCTTTTAGAATGGTCGTGTATCGTTATATGGTTCTTATTGGAATTTAGCCGGTAATGCTTCTAATAGTTCAACAAGCGGTTTACCGGCTGGTAGTAGGCAAAGTCCATTTTCACAGTATGGTACACAACAGGTATCTCTACATTAGTATTAGTCAAATTTAATTAATGACTTATCCTAATTAGCCATTAATTTAATTAGAACTGTCAAATATGAAATATATCACTTTCTTATTATAATCTAACATTTCAGCGATATATTTATGGTTCACGATATTGATTAATTATAAATATAAATTGGAGAGTGCCATCGCAGTTAAACACTAATCCTTAGCACACACCTAATCACAACTCTCGACAATCTCGATATGATCAGTGATGTTGTTAAGCTGATAAAAAGTATATGGCAGTGCAGGAAGTGCAACATTGCTCAAAATCTCTCTTCAATCTTCTCGATTAGCTCAGAATTACAGTATTGTATGTGAAAATATGTCATTAAAGATTCCTATTTTTCAATTTAATTTTTCCTTTTTCTGGAAATTGCTATTTAACCTCAGTTTCCGGAAATCAGGGCATTAATTCCGGAATGTTGTCAACAAACAAATGAAGCGATCGGTATTTATATTTATTTTTCAACTCATAAAATTTCAATAATAGATTCATTGCATAATTCCAATGTTCACTTAAAACATGCTCAATATGTAATGATTGATAATTGGATATTTGGTTGATTCACTTTTATTGGAATACTCGATAACTTAAATATAAGCAATTAATAATCTTTATTTTTTTATTAACAACTTTTATTATATTTTTATTAACAACTTGTATTTTCGTTATTTACAATGATATGTACTTAAGTTTCCTGTGACTTTTGTTTGAAAATTCAATTGACTAGATATATAACTATTTAATGCTTTATATTTAAATAGGAATTTTATTTCTAAAGTTTCATCTAGTTCTCAGTGATTTCTATTTGAATTTCCCACAACTTTACCGTATTTCATTAAGTAACAACGATAATAATGATGATATGCATCATTCTTATCATTTAAAAGGAAATGGTACATTATCATATATCTTTCAACATGTTGAAAAATTCTTCATTCTAATTTTTTCATTTCTATGATCATTTCTACTCAGTATTAGGTAAAGATTATAATGCGATACATACTTTTAAGTAAATAGGAGTTAAAAGTAATAATTAATGACAATTCTTATCGATGATCATCATTCGAATTATTCTCTTCTTGTTAATTTAAAATTATTTTTTGTTTTGTAACAAGTCTGATTTACTTCGTGCTGATATTCAAAGTTATCACAAGTAATTTAATCAGTTATTGCATAAACGAAACGATTGAATGATTGTAACTTTACGGCATCATTAACTTCTACAAGGATTAATATTAATCGAATTCGATTGACCATATCATATCACAAAGATTAGCTGTTACATTAAATGGTCAAATATTTCTGGCAGTCATGATAAAGTAACATAACTATGACAATAAATAATGATGTTAATGATAAGTAATTAATGGGAAAAGATCGAATTGGAAAGCATTCATAAATAAGCGAAAATAGGAAACAAATAGAGAGGAATTGATGACATTTCAAATTGTTAATTTCTTCAGCTAATTAATTGAGACGAATTAATAATCAGTCAAAAAAGTTGATTAATTCATTAAAAGTTTTGTTGCATTATAAGCATATTCATATGATTTTTAGAGATTTAAACATGAAAAATTTGAAAATTTATCCAATTCATTTGATATCACTTTCTAAAGCAATGAATTTACATTCATTAATTAATGCATTTGTGCTGCTATAATGCGCAATTTAATTGTATAATAAAGGGATATGAATACTTAATAATCATTTATCCATTTTTAATCTATCAATCTATCAGGATGAAATTTTTAGATGAAACTAAAGTTTTCAAAAATTATGACAATGAATGATATGAAAGAAATATAACATGATTGCTCATAAGAAGGTATCATGATAGAGCTGTGCTATAACTTTACCGTACTTCTCTTTTATTCGATAACGTTTCAATTTCAATGCTTCAGTCAAAAGACCATTCTCAGATCTCATCACATAGATGAACCTTTTTTGGTAATTCATTTTTCAACAAATGAGATCTAAATTATCATTATTCACCTTCGTTCTTTAAAATTTCAAAATTTAATTCTTAATTAGCACTCAAATTTCTTCTGAAATAATTCCATAATCGCATCTTTTGACTCTTCCTTATTGTCATCAGTTCTTAATTAAACATATTTCATCCCAAAGATTCCGAGTCCTTTTGAATGCAATTCTAACAATAAATCCAAAATTAATGAAAATTTATTATGTGAAGTTATGCGATTTCATTCCATTGATTTCCTTCTTTTTTTTTCTCATTCTCAGAACATTATAAAATTAAACGAAAAGAAATATTTACTTAGAAGAAAGAAAAAAGTTAAATTGAAAAATTCAATCAAATATCAATTTATGATAGATTTATATTTGGAAAGTGAGGAAAACCTATCCAAGAATGGACTGCAATATCTTTGCTGATAACGGATTCGTTTCCGTTCGTAATCTAATCGGAAAATTTCTCTTATGATACGTGAACATGATAGAATTTCATCATTTATAGCTTTGAATATCCGATCCATTATGGTCTTTAAAAAAGAAATGAAATAATAATAGTAATTGAATAGACAATTGATTACATTAATCTGTTCATTCATATGATGACCTCTCCATTTACAAATCAAACACTAACCTTTGCTTTTAACTTGTCATCAAGGTTTGAAATTTTTAAATTTACGCTAGCATTCTTTTTTTCATGACATAGAGGGAAAGCAAATCTTTGCTCATCATAAAAGCTAACCAATACTATTGCCAGAAGTGTTGGCTTTAGCGCCTAATAATCTTCATGCGTATCTGATTTAATTTTAGTGCTACGATCTTGAAGCGTCGAATAACCAATACGGTAACCTCGAACCTAAATTAATGAATATATGTTGTAAGAAAATCCTTCAGTTTCACAAAGAAGAAAGTTTTTAACTTATGCAGAAAAAAATAAAAATCCTGAAATATAACCCAAAATTATTTCATTTCGATTCTATTTGAAAATAAATTCTAAACAATTTTTTGATCTTTCAAGAATGTAATTTAATGATTTCATATAATAAAATAAAATTTGAATAATATCATGCATATTAACTAAACATGTCAATTCGGCTGTGAACTCTAAGATATGTGCTAATAGAAAATATCCTATATATGTATCAGTACCACGGATGATACCTATTCCAGCTCTCCCAATCCAGCTATCGTTGAGGTGATATTATAATGTGTGATAATTACTCCTTTAGCAGCGCCAGTGCTATCACTCGTATACATTATCATGATTTTATCATTTCTCTTAGCTGGTGAAACTTTTGTAATATTTGATTACATCTTATACGTCATTTAAATAAACACCACCAAACGTATCATTTCGTTAAGCTGATATTGGCAAACATTAAAGAAACCAAAATTTAACATCATCATTTAGCCAAAAGTGAATAACCTGGAATATTATTTTCACATGTCTCTAATTCATCCAGTGTGACAACATTTTCGAATTATTCCTTGATGATATCCATATTGACAATTTTCTTTGAAGATTGTAAGGAGCGAAAATACACTAACAATTGTAAATTTGATATTTTCTTCCTTATTGTCACAATTTTTGTTAACAATTCAGCAGATGTCACCAATAATGTAGCTTCTGTTTCACTGATTGCTTGAATTATTGCCTATATAAGGAAAATAAAAATTTTAAAAAAGTTAATCTAAAATGAAATCTTAAAAGTATACGCTAAATATAAGCAAATTTAGAAATTACCACACTATCAATACATTTCGTTTATGCTAAATTAAGGACATTAGAGAATAATAATACTTTCTCTCCAAGTGTTGCGTAAACTATAGCAACTGGTATATTAATATGGAAGAGTGAAGTGATAAGCCAATCAGCTCGAGTTTCCGCAAAAATAATAACCTGAAAGGAAAAAGTTATCTGCATGGTGTAAATGAAGCATAAAACTTGATAAATTTCATTTTAAAATATATGAAACATTACCCGACCGACAATCATTATGTACAATAGTTTTGATGCCTGAAGCAATTCGACCAATTTTATTATAAATTTTGGCATAAGTTTCTCATTTATATTTGCCCATTACCCACTAAAATTCATTATCTTAACATTAAAAAAAAGTCAGCATTTTTAAGTCGAGACATTTGCATAGGAATGTTACTGTATCTGTTTACAGTATAACAAAAATATCTGAAACAGTTGTATCTACACTTCAACTAAATTTCATTAGAAAAAAAAAGCTAAGCTTTGGCTAAATTTTTACTAAACTTGAGCCTTTTCAAATACGCGTTCATTAGATTGCTTTTCCCCACGTACCTTTAGCACTTCACGTGTACCCAGGACTATTTTATCATCATATAACTTTGCCGCATGGGTGAATAATTTGTCAACTGTATCTTCCCCCGGGAAATCCTCTCTTATTGGCCCATCTACATTACACCACAAATTACTTCTACCCTTCATTGGTATTGCCTAAATTTATAAAATATAAATGAGATCAAATAACAATTCATTATCGCAATACTCTCATCTTTTCATCAATTTCATGATATTGAAATGGTAAATTAGTAGATTTTATTATTTAAAAGATTGGATCTTTGTGTAATAAAATTTGTTCCAAAATCTTATAGAAACAATAATTTTTGATCTGATAACATATAGATAAAAATGGAAAAGTACAACTCAAGATGAATCATTCTGCAAAAGATAAACGTGAAGGAATGATAACAAAAAAAAAACAAGAAAAAACAAATCTTAACCTTTTTACTTCGTTCTAACTTGACAATGGGTGGACTGAACAATTCATGCAAAATAAAATTTAAACAATCATGTACATAAAGCCATATACGAAGTATAAAAATAATCAGAGGTATTGTTTCGTTAGGAAAGTTACTATAAATAATAATTATTAATTAAAAACACATCTAAATCTCCATACAGTAAAAATTATGGGTAATTTAAAGTCATCAGGAAACAATCAATCTTTAATTGAAACATAGCTAATAATGAATTATATATGGATAGCATTTCCTTTTTTCTCAAAATATTATAGAAGAGATTGTGAATGAATTTATCATTTTGTATTAATGTAATCACATTGATTCTATGCTTTTAGCTGAAGAACATTTCTTCTTTTCTGTTAATTATTAATGGCCATTACATCATAAAGAGGAGAAAAGTTTGCAAACTTTTCAAACTATCAAATCAATTTGAAAACACAAAAAAAAAACATTGAAATTGTATTTGAGCTCCTTTTGAAGGTAAATGGCCAAATAAAAAGCAGTAAGAATTGGTTTTACTGCAGTATATGCAAATTTCAGAATAATAAAGAGCGAAGTGGAATTTATTAACATAAAAATGCTCAATATGTTTGAAAAGAGCAGTCTTCTCTGTGTCGTAAATTGTGAGTAGCTGCACTGGTAAGCTACGGTTATCATCTCTCCATATTGAAAACAAGAACGCTTCACCGATATCAGATGACATGAGGTTATATATGTTCGGATTGTGGTATTAGTTAATCAGATTTGAAGATTTCAAAACTCTTTAATTAGTTCTATACTTTCTTATTCTTTTCACCCAAGTAAAAATTTCAATGAGCACAAAACAAATGCAAAACAAGATTTGCCGATACTGAAATAAAAATTATTAATTAGGAAAAGGATATAGCTAATTTTCCCAGTGGATAGTGAAAACAGCTAATCAACGGCTATTGGTCATTTGTAAAACTTGAGATTGTTAGGAAACACACTTTCTAGTGAAATTTCACAAGTCAATATTTCAGAATGTGGCATTGCATAATTTGCATTCATGTTCTCTTTATAATGACTACTTTGATAAAAGTGGTACTCTTATCACAATCATCTCTTCCAAAGCTGGCTAAGGTAATAGAGAGTACTCAAAAAGCAAAAGAAAAGAAAAATGGAGTATGCGATGAAACGGACAAAACTGGAAATTGGTTCGTGATCGGATTGTTATCCAGTTAAAAATAATGAACATATTTGTATTTTAATCAGAAAAAGATTGAATTGTATTCTGATTGCACTACGCAGTTTTTCACTCAACTGAACTTATCCTGAGCTACTTTCAGATTCCGAAATTCCTAATATTCCGGAGTGATAGGTCGACTTCAGTTATAAGTTGATGCTATAATTGTAAAACATTCCTAGACATTTCAAACCCAACATTCTCTGCGTGGAAACTTCGAATGCAATCATTTCAGGTACATATACTGCACCGGTTTTATACTTGAAGTGATGAATCTGTACCAGGTAGAAGTGGATTCAAAAACATTCGTCGACAGACCTTTGAAAGCCAACCCAGGTGAAAATGAACTTTTCGTAAACACTTTTAGGTGAAAAGGAAAAGGGAAAATCGCGTATTTGTGGAAATTGAGCTAAAGTCTTTTAATATTCAAAAAGAATGCATTCATCAGATACTCTTCACAGTATAAATGTAGAATTAGCCGAAAATATTGTTTTCAGAGGCCACAATGCAAATGTTGATTATATTTTTCACGTATTTTAGAAGTGATTCTAAGTGAATTTATGAAAGAATTTGGAAAAAAGTCAGTAAACTTTACTAAGAAGAAGCTCATAAATTTTCGAAAACGTTTTTTCGGCGAACCAGGAACAGAATTAACCAGTTGCTTTATTCCGGATTGGAAAGAATTACCACCAAAAATCGCTCAGATAAAAGATAAAGATCTGAAAAGTTTTGCATTATTTTTAAATCGACGATGGAAAGATCTATGCAGACAAGTGAGAAAGAAGAATTATTTATTCATTAAAGAAACAGTTATTTGTGGATCATATTTTCACTAAGCCAAAATTAAAGGATGGATTAATAAATTTATTTTAAGATAATTAAAATCAAGAATCCGAAACGGAATTCCTTGATCGAAGTACCTCATCCATTCATTGTGCCGGGAGGTCGATTCAGAGAATTTTACTATTGGGATGCATATTGGATTGTAAAAGGTTTGATTGCGAGTGACCTTTTCATGATGGTCAAGAACATGCTGAAGAACTTCATCTATTGTGTCAAAAAATGAGTTTTTATTTTGAGTTGCAGCAAATTAATATTGGTCCATGTTTCATCATCGGACTCTAAAACATAGATTTCGGTAAAACTGCACTAAATACAAGACCAATATCAGCAGCTGTACT